TCCTCACCCTCCCTCCTCACCCTCCCTCCTCACCCTCTGCATGCCACAGGTGGACGGAAAAGTTCAAAGTCGTCCTTGCAACAGCTGGCAGAGTGTAACACGACCCCTCCAGGAAATGATTGCTCTCCCTTAAGTGTACTCGAGCTTCGGTTAAGTGCACTGACTTGACTCCCTCGTCCTTTTTCTGCTGCCATTTGTTTCCTCCGTTCTTCTCCCTCCTCTCTGATATTAGTGGGAGACGGTGGTGGCTGATAAATCAATAGCTATTACTCTGCCCGTCTCATCTATTTCTCTCGTGTCTGTTCCTCCTTCATTTTCATCCCGCTGCGGCCGGTCAGGGACCTCTCCATCGCTTTCTCTCAATCTCCTTCTCTCGCTTCTCTTTTACTCCCCGCTCCTTCTTGTCGTTCTCAAGCCGCGGACTCGAGGACAGACTATAGCCTTTCCTGAACTAAAGAGTGGTGAAGTGGTGCAGAAAGCGGCTGTAGCTCTCAATTACACTGAATCCAAATGGCTTTATGTTATTTTATGATGCCCGACAAGATGAGCGGATACGATTTCAATGTCAGGAACATCTGGAGTCACACAATCACAGGACCTTTATCCTAGTTTACACCTTCTCCTACACATTTATTTCTTTATACTTTTTAAATCTTTCAGACCAGTGGTGGCTTAAATAAAAAAGAAATTCAAAGTCTACCTCTGGCCTTCATCACACGGCTCTCACCTTCACATTTATCACCCATAAATCCCCTCCAGCTGCAGGAACACGAAGAACAGGGAGGGCTGAAAACTCCCTCCTCTACCTTCATGAATTATTCTGTTTATGCACGATCTCTACCCCACATTAATAATTCAGCTGCTGAGCCGTCTTTTAACACGCATCAACATCAGAAAGAGTTCATCGGCAGCCCCCCCCACCCCCCTTCCTTATTCCAAAAACGTAAACTTAGTTAATAAGAGGGTCGGTTCCTCCTGAAGGCACCGAGTGGCAGAGTAATGGGAGTGTTTGATTATCAGTGTTTTATTGCTCGGGCCAATTCACAAATTACAGCTTTGTGTGTCTTTCCCTGTCAGCTGCTGGGTTTGTGATATTGCTGCTGATAAAAGGAGATGGACCGAAGTTTATGTGCAGTAACAGTCCCCCCCCCCGCTCTGAAAGTAGCTTGTTCCCTCACATTCTGTCGTTTTAATTCCTGTCCAGTATCTAACAGTGTGTTTTCCCCTCGACAGGCCCGGGGAACAACGCAGCTGCAGGTCTCGCCCACTCCCAGTCCCGAGCAATGATCGCGGCCGCTGCCCGACGCAGAGACTCCAGCCACAACGAGCTGTACTACGAGGATGCGGAGCACGAGAGGCGTGTCCGCAAACGCAAAGCACGGTGAGTGACGCTGAGGAAGAGGTGACAGAAGTTTTAGCCCAGGGCAGAGGAAGCATCAAGTTTCAAGTTCAAATCCTCACCTGAGCTTCGTTTCCTCCCAGACTGGTGGTGGCAGTAGAGGAGGCGTTCACACATATCAAGCGCCTGCAGGAGGAGGAGCAGAAGAAGGCTCCCGGGGACGTGATGGACCCGCGGGAGGCGGCGCAGGCCATCTTCCCCTCCATGGCTCGGGCCCTGCAGAAGTACCTGCGGACCACCAAGCAGCAGCACTGCCACAGCATGGAGAGCATCCAGCAGCACCTGGCCTTCTGCATCACCAACAACATGACGCCCAAGGTCAGGACTGAACCACGTGACGCTCACAACGTTTTAAATGAGACGGTCTAGTCGCAGTCAGTCTTCAAATGCAGCCTCTGAATTCATATCTACCATGTAAACAGACATGAAGATTTCTCACATGTGAACGTTCCCTCGGAGACGTGACAACATTGTGTTTCTCTCCCGCTCAGGCGTTTCTGGAGAGCTACCTGACCCCGGGTCCGACCCTGCAGTACAGCCGCGACCACTGGATGGCGCGCCAGTGGACGCTGGTCAGCGAGGCGTCGGTCACCAGCGGCCTGAGAGACGGCAGCATCTTCCTGCTCAAGTGTGTGGACTTCAGCTTGGTGGTGACGACCAAGAGCATCCCCTACATCCAGATGTCGGAGGAATTCATCGACCCCAAGTCTCACAAGTTTGTGCTGCGGCTACAGTCCGAAACCTCCGTGTAGGACTTTTTTTTTTTTTTTTTAAC